GGGAAGCTGAGATTCTTGGACATCGTTAGTGGGAGTGTAAATTGGTTCAACCCATCCCTGTGAAGGACAACGTGGGCAGTACCTTTCTAATTACAAATGCACATGCTCTCTGAGCCTGCAGTTCCTTCCCGGGAATTTGTTACAGACCCTTACACATGCGTAAAGTGATAGTCAAGCGATATTCTTAATTTGCAGCATTGTATGGAAGAGCAGAAGACTGAAAACCATCAAAAATGGGCCAAAGTCCTAACATGGCACCTGGTGGAATATTACACAGCTGTCTAAAGTGACGGGCTGACGGGAGGAATAATGGCCAAGTGGGAACCTTTGAAAACTCACCCCTCACAGAAGCAGTAGAAAAAACTGGCAAAAAAATGACCAGAACCAACCTTTTCAGAACTCTGGAAATTAACCAGAGATCTGCAGCAATCTGGGGATGTTTATTCCAGAAAAAGGACTGAATCTCGGTAGGAACAGCATTTTGTGGGGTTTTAATTGCCCCGTCCCATCTCTCACTCGGCAGCTCAGCAGCGGCCTTGAAAACCAATGGCCCATGTTCCCAGTCCCAGAGGAGCCGGGAGGAGCAGAGGGTGCTCTGAAGGCTCGTTCCAAGAACCGGCATCCGTGGACAAGGCTGCTGGAGTCCCCATTGCAGAAATTCCCTTTATTTGACCCGACTCAGAGCTCATTTCCTGCTAAAAGCCTCTCCCTGGGTGGGCATCTGTTGAAAACTTTTATGAACAAGTGTTTTAGCGTTGCAGTGGCCTGAGGCGATCAATTCACAGTCGGGGCAAACAATAGACTAAGCAAAATTATAGATAAATAGATAAATAAATAATAGACCAATCCAAAAGGAAAAGCTGGGGAATGAGAGGTCCATAGGAGCTTTGAAAAGCTCCTACAGAGTCGGATCTTTCGTCTTTGGTGGGGAAGGGTCCCAGGTGTCCCTTTACTAGGGCACTAAGGGTTCCTTCCTCAGCTAATCACCTCCTAAAGGCCCTACCTCCTTGTACCATCATGGTAGGGGGGCAGGATTTCAACACATGAATTTGGGGAGGCCAAAAACATTCAGACCATTGCACTGAACGATTCCTCTTCTAGGAGGTCCCAGGAGCAGTCAGATTACACAGAGAGTAGAAAACCCAGCTGGTGCCTTTGAAGGATTTCCTCAAAGCCCACCAAGGCTTTGTGAATGGCTCCCACCTCCTGGACCCAGAGAGGGATTCCTGGACCACCCCAAGGGCTGGCTCTGGACTCCCCTCATCCCATCTTCAAGAGAACACATGTCCACCCCAGGCGGGTCTGAACGGCCCAAACTGCTTCTCACCAGCTCCCGGGACCCTGGGCCCGACCTCATGGTGGGAACCCCACTTCCCCATCATGACCCCTCCACCAAAGGCCAGCGTGTACCCGTGTGGGTCCAGGTTTCGCTCTGCACAAACTTAATCCTGAACTTGTTATCACAGCTGTGTAGTACCCCACAACTTGCCTTTGGGATCAATGTCCTGTGAATAATCTTTCCTTCTATTGCACAGAGATGTGATCTTTTCTTTTTTTTTTTAAAGATTTTTTATTTATTTATTTGAGAGAGAGAATGAGAGAGAGAGCATGAGAGGGGGGAGGGTCAGAGGGAGAAGCAGACTCCCCGCTGAGCAGGGAGCCCGACGCGGGACTCGATCCCGGGACTCCAGGATCATGACCTGAGCCGAAGGCAGTCGCTTAACCAACTGAGCCACCCAGGCGCCCGAGATGTGATCTTTTCTTGTTAAGAGCTCCATACTGTGTTTCTCGTGAAATTATTTTTATTCACTTTGTTTCCCTGTGTGTGTCTTGTTCCATTTACATCAAAGAATTAAGTTCCTCCATGACCATTGTAGAAAATCTGGAAAAGGACCAAAAAGAATTAAAAGAAACAAAGTCACGAGAAATCCTTCCCTTTGGGGGACACGCCTTGGCCAGCCGCTCTGCACTCAGGGAGAACGGGTCGGGGGTCGGGGGGAGAGAGGCAGTGGGGAATTCCTTGCCCATTGCCAACACTGTGGTCAAGGACACGAGTTAATGTTCAGACGGTTCTAGAGGTCAGGAATCAGACCCATATCTCACCGGCTAAACTCCAGGTGTTACCAGGGCTAGCTCATCCCTTAGGCTCTAAGGGAGAGCCCGTCTCCTTGGCTTCCCCAGCGATGGGAGGCCACCTGCACTCCTCCGGTCCTGGTCCCTGCCTCCAGCATTCCCTCCTCTGCTTTCTAGGACCCTCGAGATTACACAGGCCTAGTCTCCCCGTCCCAAAGCCCACTGATGGGTGAACTTACCTCCCCTTTGCCATGGACCCTAACATGGTCACGGGATCTGGGGATTCAGGCATGGACACCTTTGGGGGCCCTATTCCAGAGATGGCCTGGCGGGACGCTGCTAGGCCCCGGGCCCAGCCCCTGGCAGGCAGTCCGTGGGAGGGAGGGACTTGGGACTCTGGCTGCGACCACACCCCTCAATTTGGGAACAGCCAGCTGGAGGTTAGGGCTCCCCTGAACACAAAAGCAAACCTGGGGGGTGTGGGGTATCACCATTTGGGAGCACTGACATCCTCTGACATTTATTCATTTCAGTTTCTCTGCATTTGCTACTGCTTTAATAATCATCAATGTCCTGGGTAATTAGTACATTTGGAATCAGGGAACTTGGCAATTGGGAGGTGACCTCGGAGTTCAGAAGCCAGGGACTAACTCGCAAGCCGGATCATCCCGTGGAAGGAGACTCAGCCCACACCCCAAAATACCACTCCACTTCCACAGCCCCCTAAAGGCACCTCCCAGCCTTAAAAATTCATATGTAGACCCAGAAATTTCACTAACGAGAGTCTCTCCTAAGGAAAGAATTCTAAATATAGAAAACCGCTCCAGCACAGGGTACCAGAGCAGCTTTCTCTGGAAGGGTGGCTAATTAGAGACAACCTAATTGTCCAACGACGAGGGACCAGCATCCATGTGACAGCGAACTGCATAGTTACACTGACGAGGCAGGAAGGACACAGGATCCTTTTATTGTCGTGGGTGAAAAGCAGGATCCTAAGTCAGATGATCGCAGCCAAAGGACATTTTTTAAAAAGCATGGAACGAGGACTCCAAGGACATTAACTAAAATATCAACAGAGGTTCTCTGTGGCGGCTGAGAATGTGGGTCACTGCTTTTCCCCTTTGCTCTACTTCTCTGAATTCTTCAAATTTTCTGGGAGAAACATAATAGAAAAGTTTACCTTTAATTGAATTGGTTGTATTAAGTAACTGGGGCGTCAAAGTAGCCCAGTCCTTCGTGCGAGCGTGTGAGTGTATGTGCCCGCAAGTTGTGTGAGGGTGTGGACGGGAATGTGTAAGAGTGTGGGTGTGAGTACGAACACCGTGACATCCGGCGTGGGGGGGGGGGGGTGGGTGTGAGGGTGCGAGCGGCCGTGTGTGAGCCAGCGCCTAAGTGCGCGTGTGTATGGACGTCAGTGCGAACCCGAGCTCGTGCTCGTGAGCGTGTGTGGAAGCGTGAGCGGGCGGGCCGGCGCGGGAGTGAGGGCAGGGATCGGCGGGCCGGGGCTTCCGAGCTGCACCCCCCCGCAGGGCCTCCGTCCCCTTCCTCACTGGGGTGGGTGGTTCGGCCGGCCTCCACCCGCGGCGCTGCGTGCAGCCTCTGAACAGGGAGAAGGGGCCACACTCACTCCCAGCAACTTCGCGGGGCTCAGGCGCCGGACGGGACGGGCAAGGTCCAAGGGAAAGCAGCTTCCGTGATGCCAGCAACCTCCTGGCCTGGAATCTGCGGTGGGAGACACGCTCGCTCGCTCGCTCGCCACCCGACCGCCGCGGGGCCCTGGGCGGCCCCAGGGGCTCCCAGGAGACCCTCCGCTCCGCAAGGTCAGGGTTCCGCAACGCTTTCCTCCACCGCCAAGAAAGGCAAATACTGGCAACAAATAAATCCTGAACAACACTCCTGGTGACAGTTAAGGCTTGTCATTCTTGCCCTCCCTCCCTCCTCCAGCCTCGAAGGAGCCCTCCCCCCTGCACACGGGACCCCCCGGCGCTTTCCTCTCTGTCACAACGAACGGCTCTACTTGAGGTTTGTTTTGATTTTATTTTGGGGGGGCTCAGCCTGCCGACAAAGGCCAGGCTGCCTCACAGTCAACCCCAAGTCAACTCCAAGTGCGCGCCCTGGCCCTCCCGGGCAGTGCCAAGCCCTTCACACTTCTCTTCCCTGACCCCGAGGCACTTGCTCAAGACGCCACAACGCGAGTTCTCACTCCACGTGAGACACAGGCCTGTGTCCCCGTCCCTTGAACAGGGCTGACCTGTGACTGTCTCAGTCAACAAAGTGTGTGGAGGTGACGCTATGGGATGTCCAAGGCTAGGGCGTATCCCCCGGGCTTCTCGGGACCCAGCCCCCATGCTGTGAGGAAACCCAACTAGCCCCCGTGGACAGACCCCATGGAGAGGCCACACGTAGGCATTCTGGCCACAGGCCCAGCTGAGGTCCTGGTGGAGAGCCAGCACCAACCACCGTCACCTAAGTGAAGATGCTTCCAGAAGATTCCAGCCCCCAGAAGAGGCTCCAGACACCAGGGAGCTGAGGCAAGCCGCCACGCTCTGCCCTGTCCAAACACCTGCCCCGGGGAAGCCAGGAGCATCTCCCAGTTGCTCGCTTACACCCTGACATGGGGGGTGGCTTGTAGTACAGCAGCAGTGGCCGATTCCCGTGGTTTCCCAGCCCTGGCTCCGCCCCCCACCACTTACCTGTCACCCTGATGACCAGGTCGCACGGGGGCTGAAGCAAGGACCACCGGGACTTCTCGCTCCTGTGATCCCACAGTCTAGTCTGGGTCTGGCGGCGCAGAGGGTCAGTCCTGTCCCTCCTGGGCAGGTCACTGCTGGCCCCTTGGGCACGGTCTCCTCCGTTTCTCAGCGACTCTGGGCAGAAGCAGATCATCGTGGGGAGTCCTGTGGGTAGGCGCGCACCAAGCCTGGACGACTGGCTTGGACAGTCAGGAAGGATGGAGGCCCCTGCCCCCTGATCGCCATTTTGCCTCAGGCGACTCTCCTCTGGAGGACAGGTGGGGAGCTCAGGAGGTGCAGCTGAGCCCTCTTCGGCCCACCCGACAGCCCCACACACTTGTCCCTCTGTCCCGCAGCATCCTGGGGCCACCGGCCCCTCCAAGTCCAGGTCCCCGCTCCTGCCCGGACGCCTGCTCACCTGCCCCGGTCCCTCGGGCTCAGCTGCCACCTTCTCCCCTCGCCACGCTGCAGCCAGAGCCCCTTCCCAGAGCCCAGGTCTGGTGAAGGAGGCTTCTGCCTAAAACAGATGCTACAAACAAGCCCGTCCCAGAAGGACGAATCCTGTGTGAGTCCACTCCTTCGAGGTTCCCAGAGTCGTCCAGTGCACAGAGAGCAGATGGTGGTGCCGGGGGGCTGGGGAGGGGGCGGGGGTCAGTGTGTCACAGGGACAGAGTCTCAGAGTGGAGGGATGTCACGTTCTGGAGCTGGACGGTGGTGGTGGCTGCCCAACAGTGTGAATGCGCTCCAGCAGCCCATAGCCTCCCTCCCTGGCCCGCAAAGGCTGACCCAGCAGCCGCATCCTGGGGGCCCCAGGCAGCCTCCGGTCCCCCACTGGGTCTCCCGTCTCCAAGCAGGTAACCCCATCAGAACAGCCACGGGTGATGAGTGCCCCCCCCCACCGCCTTGGCCCACCCCCAGGGCTGGAGAGGGTCACAGGGGAAAGGTCAGGGAGTGTCCCTTCCAGAAGCACTGCATAATCACCTGATTTTCTAAATCAAGTCCACTTTATTTGAAACTTTCCACATGCCACAAGTTTACATGAAAATACCCATTCAAAATTCATTTGAACACAAAATTCAGGAGTGGGCATCACTAGACAGAAAAGTAGGTCTGTGTGGAAAAGCAGGTGACACGTATTTGATCACTTAGCACCTGGTCACCATATACCGTGAGCCCCCTGGCTGACTCCCCACCCCACCCCCCTTTAAAAACATGCTGAGCTCAAGTGCTTCTGGTCAGCTGCATACGGACAGGCAGTGGTCGAGGGGGGCTGGGGCCAGACACCCCACCTGCACCACGGCCGTCGCGTGGCCGCCTCTCCGGCCCCTCACCCTCCAGCCCACCCGCTACGGTGAGCACAGAGAGAAGCCTCTGGCCCACACCGTTAGGATTCCACGGAAAACCATCCCTTGTCAGGTTTAGCGGAGCGCTACAGACCGAACCTCCCAGGCGGTGAACGTGGCTCCCGGACCTCATGGCCACGGGCAGCCCTGGGTCCCCCCCATTCCCCCGCCAGCTGGTCCGGAGCAGGGTGCGGCAGGTGCCCTGACCCCGTGACATGAATGCAACCTCCCCCTCCTGCCCCCCACCGTGGTTTCTGAAAAAGCTCTAGAAAGTAATTTAGACATTCAGGCGACACCATCCAGCCTGTGTCAGCGATCTTAGAGACTCCCAGTGAGAACCCCGTGCCCCCAGCGCAAACGAGGCCAGGGAGCACCACAAGGGCACCCGAGCCCCCGCCGCACAATCCCGTCCCCTGCTGGCGAAGTGTGGGGGAGGAGGCTCAGGGCCAGGGCCAAGGCCAAGGGAACTGCGGGCAGCGGTGCCCCCTTCCACATCTTCGGGAATCTGGGGTCTCCGCTGAAACCTGCTACCACCGGCCACGCTGCATTATCCTCGTCCACTAATTTCTCAGTTCTTATTATTCTTCCTTACAAGGCCTCGGTGATTCTCAAACCCTCCAGAGCAGATAATGAGGGCCAGAGGGAGCAGGGGGCTGCCTGATACCCCCGTGCCCCTCGGAGGAGGTCATGAGGGTGGGTCCCCTTCCTGCAAGCTGGGGGAGGGCTGCGGGATCGTCACCTTCTTGACACAGACTCGGGGAGGGCCGCTGGCACAAGCAGGATGGCACAGGCTGGTTTCAGACCCTCGAGGGCTAACAGACATCGGGGTCCAGCGGCTCCTGCGGCCCTGCTCCCCTGGCCCAGCTCTCCCGGCCAGGCCTCCACCAAGCTTCGTCCTCGCCTCCAAGTGGCCTGCAGCCGTGGGTCCTGGCGCAGGGGCGGTCAAGGGAGGCTCACCCTCAACACCCAGCCTTGCAGAGCTGCCCAAGGTGTGTGTGGGGGGCATCATCCCAGGGCCCATCCGGGGCCCCAGCCAAGCGCCCTCCAGCCTGGTGCTGGACACAGGGGCCCAGACCCATGAATCCTTGGGTCCTCAGAGGACAGCTGACAGGCAGGGAGAAGATCCGCCCCCCGGGGCGTATGACAGAGTGAAGTGTCCCTTATCTAGCCTCCTTGGGCTGGGAAGTAAAAATACTTGCACGTGAGAATGAAAAGCCACCGACAGGGAAGGAGGCCACAGGCCTCTGCTCTCCTCAGGCTCCAGATGCCTCCCCCGGCCAGGTTGTGTTGGCACCCAAGTCAGAGCCCCGGGGGCAGGCATGCCTGGCCACCCGGGGGCGAGTGGGGGGTGGGGAGCGAGCCACAAGGTCTAGGGGCGAGGTGGGCACAGGCGGGAGGAGCGGCCTTGGGAGTGCTGGGGCTTCTACTTTAACAAAGGGTTAAATGCCCTCATCTCTCCTCCCCTCCCTCCTCATCTTTCCCACCTCCCCCAGTCTCTCCTCTCTCTCATACACGCACACGCACACACAAGCACGCGATCCCATGCAGAAACGTGCTCGCATGCACAAGTGCACGCACACGCACACCATGCACGTGTGCACAGACTACTCACGTGTGTGCACGCAGACGTACACGCACGCGCACACACACGCGATCCCACGCACACGCAATCCATGCAGAAACGTGTTCGCATGCACACATGCACGCACACCATGCACGTGTGCAGACTACACTCACGTGTGTGCACGCAGACGTACACGCACGCACACGCACACACGCAATCCCACGCACACGCAATCCCATGCAGAAACGTGCTCGCATGCACACGTGCACGCACACCATGCACGTGTGCACAGACTACACTCACGTGTGTGCACGCAGACATACACGCACGCACGCACACGCACACCATGCACGTGTGCACAGACTACACTCACGTGTGTGTGCACGCAGACGTACACGCACGCACGCGCACACACGCGATCCCACACACACGTACACCATGCACGTGTGCACAGACTACACTCACGTGTGTGTGCACGCAGACGTGCATGCGCACACACGCGATCCCACGCACACGCACACCATGCACGTGTGCACAGACTACACTCACGTGTGTGTGCACGCAGACGTACATGCACGCACGCGCACACACGCACAGCCAGCAGTGCTGACCAGGCCCCCTCTCGGCAGGCAGCATATGGTCCGCACTTAACAGCCCAGTTCTGCCAGTTGGGGACCATTAGGGTGGGTTCTTTTCCCAGCATAAAATGCTGCAGAATATAAATTGCAATTAACGCCGCTGCCAAATTAGCACTCAGCGAGAATAAGCACACTGCTAACATCTGGTGAGCCCCGGCCCGGGGGCAGAAGCGGCGGAAGTTCTTGCTCTAGTAGCAGGATGGTTACGGGGACGCTAAAAATACACGGTCTGCTGCGTGGGGGCGGCTCTCCACGGCAGCTCCCGCCCCCAGCCTCGGGTGAACGGCCCCTCCCGGCCCTGTTTGTCGGCATAAATGCTGCTGGTTAAAACTGCTTGCTCGTGAGCACGGGCCACCCAGGCGAGGGCGTGAACACACAGCTGCAGCCTAGTGGAAAGCTCATTCTCCAGCCTGAGCCCGGGCTGCTCTGGAGGAGAGGGCACCCAGAGCCACCCAGAGCCCTGGGCACCTCCCCCCCAGGGCACACCCCCTGCCAGTCAGGCTGCGACCAGCCACACGCTTGCTTTGAGGAGAAATGGTCAGTTCCCATTACCACCCCCTTCCTTGACCGCCTTTGCCTGGCGGGGGAGGTCCTCTGGGCACCACCTGAAATACCCCAAAACTGGGGAGCGGAAGTGCGCCCACCAACTCTCAGACCCTCATCTACAGCCATGGGGCCCTATCGGGACCTCAGCCCTGTCTCTCCGGGGCCCAGGGCAGTCTGTCCCTCGGCCTGCAAGGCCAGGCAGGGCCCTCAGACCACATCGGGACCTCTAAGGTGAAGGCTGGAGGCATTCACCTACGGGCAGCCTGCAGACCAGTCCCTCTGGCCGGGCTGCAAAGAAGTGCCAGCCTCAGCCCGGGGCAGGGAGAGGGCATGAAACCCAGGGCAAGGAGGGAGAAGACTCACCCCACAGCACCTGTGCATCCCCCCGTCCACTCAGACAGGAAGGGGGAGGGCAGAGCAGAGCCCCTGGGGTGGGCAGACTGTTCCTCCCAGGGCCCTGACCCCGGGACTGCTTGATTCCTGCAGTTGTGCTCTCTGGCCTCCCGGACCCCTTCAGCCCCGCGGGGGTGGGGGCTGCAGAACTGTCTGTCCCTCAAGAACCCAGGGATGGAAAGGCAAATGAAAAGCCCCGGGGCCACGGACTTGCTCTTTTAGTAGGTAAGCTGCAGGACACGCTACACGGAATGGGGAAGGGGGGACTGTCTCCACAGACACAAAGTGGGAAGATGGCCAGGCTGGGGGCCAAGCAGATGGCGGCCAAGATGGGGACCAGCAGCGTGAGCAGGGCCTGGTGGGCTCTGCACCCCCAACCCAGAGGGAGAGGGAGGCCCGGGAGGCAGCCTCTGCAGGACTGATGTGCCCCTGCCTGGAAGCTGTCCAACGGTGCCCAGGACCCCCGGCAAGCCTCCAGGAGCATCACCGGGAGCAGTCAGGGCTGGACCCGGGGTGGAGGGAACCCGATCGCAGCCCCTCGGAAGCCACCGGCCGAGGGGCTACCGGCTCTGGGGAGTCTTGCAGTCGAGAAGGCAGCAGGCTCAGCACAGGGAGGGAGGCCCTGGACACTGGGAGGTCACTCCCCATTTTTGGAATAGCTGCACTGAATTTTGTAAAGTGCTAAATAAAGCTATATGAAATGGGGTAGTTTGATCACTACTCTGGCTTTAAACGTCCTTTCTAAGTTTTAATATTTCAAGTTTCTTGAATGAAGCCAGGTATGTATTTCCCCAGAAACACAGATCTTCACGGAGAAGAGGTCCTAAAGCTGAGTGCTGTGCTGGCGTCGGGCCTGGCCCAGGCCTCGCCCCACAGTCCCAGCGCCACGGGGGTCCCTGCCCAGCCAGCGGCCCCGAACTTGTCTGACGCCATCTGGCTGGAAACACGCTGGACATAATTGGGTTAAAACGTGTGTTACTGGGAAGGAGAGCCCCAAATCTGGAGCTCCCCACTGCGCTGTGCTCCCAGCTGGCCCGAGGGAAGCCGTGCCATCGTGTAACCGTGTGAGCGCATCCGTCCCCACACACATGGTCACCTCCAACCCCGGGCCCGAGGCCACCCCTCCGCAGAGCCTGACGGCAGGTGGCCACAAACACATGAGACACTCTGGAAGGTGGAAGTGGCGATGGGGGGGGGCAGCACTGGGGCCCCGTGCTGCTCTGGGGACCTGGTCAGGGCCCCCGGGGAGTCAGCGCTCCGTGACAGATGCAAGTCTCAGCTCAGGAGTACCCACGCCAGGCCCTGCAGGGACAGCCGGCTCTTCCTTCTCCTCCTCCTCACGGATGGGACTCGCGTTTCACCAAGCGCCAAGAGCAAGCAACAGGAAGCTTCGGGGGGCCCTGGGAGACGACAGGTGCGCGGGATAGCCGGGCAGAGGGCGCGTCCTTCCTCTTGGGACCCAAGGGGCCCCAGTGTCCGGCAGGGGCAGGCATGAGCAGCAGCAGCCGGGCCACACGCCCCTCAGGGCAGTCGTGCTTCCAGGCCCAGGAGACTGACAGAGGCGACGGTGGCCGGCGGGAGGCTCGGCCGCCAGAAGCAGCTTCGCCCGGCGCTAGCTGTCCCTGTCACCACCACAGGTTCGGGGGCTCCTCAGCCACTCTGCTTTTAAATAAGGTGATCTCATCCAGGTGCACCATGGGGACGTCCCGGATGACATTGGTCAGGCCCTCGTGGAGCAGAGGGAAGATGACGACATTCAGCGCGGGCCGCTCGGCCTGGAAACTGAACCAGAGGCAAGCCGTTAGCGGGGGCCCAGGGGCGTGGGGGGAGGTGGGTAGGGGGTGCCTGTCACCCTCCATCGGGAGACAGCCATCGGGGCTTCGCCTGCCCAGGGAGAGAGCAGGAGAGCAGCCTGTCAGAACAGGCCGCCGCATTCCTGTGTAGCAGGGCCTCCTGGGAGCCACTGAAGCCACGGGAAGCCACGCCCCTGGGCACCGAGGCCCCACAGGCAGGACAACACCCTCAAGGGGCACAAACTCCCAAGCCAGGTGAACGAGCACCTCTGCCAGATGCCGCTGCTGGGAGCCACGAGCCTTCATCCAAATTCGAGGCAAATGGCTCGCCCTCCCCAGCCCACGGGGGGACAGTGTCCCCTGATGCAGCACAGATGCGTCCAGTGGCCGGGAGCTCCTCAGGCCACCGTCCCCGGGGCCTCGCGGGGACGGCTGGTGAGGTGACCAGCCCCCTTCCCGCCCGGGACGGCGATGCGCTGGCCACAGTCCCTCAGACGCTCAGTGGCAGGTCCCGGTGCGCAGCGGCCCACGCTGTGCACTGGCCAAGAGACGAAACAGAAGTGCCGGCTGCAGGGGGTCTAGGGAAAGGGAGACACACAGGTCCCCACAGAGTACGACAGAAGACGTCCAGACCCCAGAGTAACTTCTGTCCCACGGTCTCGAAGGGCAAGCGACGGGAAGGTGCCCACAGGACAGGGAACCTGGGCATTTGCCAAAACTAAGGCAAGTCCCCTCCAGCCCCGCGCCCGCTGGAAGGGGCAAGGAAGCCGCGGCCCGGCCCGCCCTGTGGCCTCCAGCGGAGGCTGTGATGGATTTATGACACACGTAAAGTAAATGTCAGAAAGGTACTCACAAAGCTGGATGTTCTGGCAATAAAGGCACCAAGGAAATGCCTCCCAGTTCTGAGCTCAGTGTTCTGCTCACGGGCAGCAGAGTCTGTGACCATGAACCTCGCAGGCAAGTCCTTGCCTGCAAACCCGCTGTGTGATTTACTTGAAACAAAATATTCTCGGGTGTGGGATGTGCGTGCAAAGACTCCTCTGCCTGCCTGCCCTTCCCGAGGCCGGCACCACCCCAGGCTCTTCACAAGCTGCTGTCAAGATGCTAAAGGGGGATTGATTTCTCACCCAAAGCCAGGAATGCGGGCTGCGCTGCCTGGCCCGGCTCCCTCTGCGCAGCCCCGGGCGCCTCCGGGTGGCGGCGGGCCAGGGGCCAGGCCAACAGCACTTGGGAGCCACGCACAGAAGGTCCCCGGGGCAAGGAGTGGAGGTGCCCCCACCACAATTCCACCCCACTTCCTGCTTGCTCTCGGTTCACACCTGGGTTCACTGGGCCTTGGACAGAGCTCCGGAGAGCACGCTCCCAGCCGCTTTCTTTGCAAAGCCCCTCCCTGGGCCTCGAGGAGCCTGTGTGTGCCCTCAGCTACAGCCTCCCGGCCCCCAGCGGCCCGGACGGCCAGCGGCATCACCAGAGACGTCCCATAGCTAGGCGGGCCTCGCCCGGAGTGGAGACGAGAAGTGGTGACAAGTGGGAAGACGACAATCACTCGTGTCCAAGTGCAGGGCTGGGGCTCCCTTTGGGAGGGAAGGGGCCCCGAGGGTGGAGGCGAGTTCTTGGCAGTGTGGGCAGGGGGTGTATCCTGCCTCATAGCTTATGAACGTGTTACAGTGTTCTTTCGCATGATTCAAATAAAGTTTGAGATTTAAGTAAACAGCCCCAGTGAAATAAAACTTCTGGCTCCCCGTGTTTAGAAGCCATTGTAGGCCAGTGACTGACAGCAGGACCTCTCCCCTGACCAGGGCCAACGGCATTGCTAAGGTCAAGACTCAAGGCTGCGGCTTCTGGCCCTGAGTTCGGAGGACAAGAGCCAGGCCTAGGAAGTCAGTGGCCTCGCCCCCAGGCGCCAGCCTGAGGCGCCCCGAGGAGGTCTCCTGTCGTGCTCCTCAGGCTCGTCTACACCCCGTGCTGTCCTGGGCAGCAACGCGGGCATGGGACATGCATCAGGCAGAGCACAAGGCAGGCACCCCGGCCTTCCTAGAACTGCTGGCCAGGGACCGCACCGAGGAACAGAGAAGCTCCACACACACGGGCCTGCCTGCCCGTTCCAAAACCCGGCATCGTGAGCTCGGCCGCCTGGCTCCCACCAGAGGCGGGGAGGAGACCCCACGAGAAGCAGGTCAACCAGGGGTCTCCGTGGATGGGGCAGAAGGCCTGCCCTTCCTGGAGGGCCTGAGGGTAGCATTAAAGTGAAACTATGCTTACACTGCTGTTTGTAACGCCCGGAAGGGAGGTACTGCATTGGAGAAAAATCTCTACCCGCCGCTGCAACCTTACCCCGGGTACTTAACATGCGCCTTCGGCTATCCGAAAATCTCAGGACCCCCAATACCTTCTCTGAACGCTCCTGGGGGCAGAAAAGAGGTTTTGTTTGTTTCCAAACTATTGTTTGGTTTAAAGAGAAAATATGACAGGCGCGCCTCATGGCTCAGTCGGTTAAGCGTCTGCCTTCGGCTCAGGTCCTGGTCCCAGGGTCCTGGGATCGAGCCCCACGTCGGGCTCCCTGCTCAGCGGGGAGTCTGCTTCTTCTCAAATGTGCTCGCTCACTCTCTCTCTCTCAGATAAATAAATTTTAAAGATCTTTAGAAAAAATAAATAAAGAGAAAATATGACAGAAATGTGCGCAGGAGTGCAGAGGCCCCGCTCTCGGGGACAGAGCCCCCCCCGCCTCAGCTGGGCCAGCCACCCACCCTGCCCGCCTCCTCATCCGCATCCTGCTGTCGCACATTATCCTGTGGTACTGAACACACTTGTTCTGGACGTGGCTTCGGTGACAGATCGAAACGTACACGACGGGAGTCAGCTTTGCTGCACTTCCTTCCAGTCCTTGACATCTTTATGTTCAACAAAGACCGTGTCCACCCCGGCCTGACAGACAGTGCCCAGCACTGCCCGGCCTCGGGCCGGCTTGCCTGGACCCCCCGCTCGGCCCTCAGGGGCAACACACCCACTCACGCGTCGTCCCTGGTGGACACACGTGTGGAGGCGTCTCTCTTACTGCTGTACTAATAAGCATCACTTAACATAGCATAATTATTTCTGCACCTTGAACTACAGCCTCAGAATAAATCCCAGAAATAGGATTACTGGGTCAGAATGAATGAACACTTTTATACCTCAAAAGACAAGCCTTCAGGGGCGCCTGGGTGGCTCAGTCGTTAAGTGTCTGCCTTTGGCTCAGGTCATGATCCCAGGGTCCTGGGATCGAGCCCCGCATCGGGCTCCCTGCTCGGTGGGAAGCCTGCTTCTCCCTCTCCCACTCCCCCTGCTTGTGCTCTCTCTCTCACTGTCTCTCTGTCAAATAAATAAAATCTTAGTACTCTGAGTCCTTTCCCTTTAAAAAAAAAAAGACAAACCTTCAACAAACTCAGATACCTCTTAAAGGCCACAGTGAGAAGCCAGCGGGCCCACCCACCCTAACTGGGTCAAGAGAACACGGTTCCAGAGCCATCAAAACGGAGAATGGCTGGGAAAAGACCCCCGATCTCCTAGAACACCTTCATCTTGTAAGTCCACTTTACAGCTGCCTGTGGCCCTCAGAGAAGCAGAGAGAACCAGCCTGGGCTCCATGCTCATCCCACCACAAGCAGACGACACGGGGGCTCAGGAAAGGTACATCCTGCGGTCACCGTGCCAGAACCAGTCTGGGCCTGCCTCCACAGCAAGGGTTGGGTCCTGGGACCTCAAGGCCTGCGGATGTCAGAGCCGGAAAGGGGTCTTGGAGGGAGAGGCCGGGAAGCAGCCCAGAGGCGGAATGCGTTCACTCAGCTACGAAACACCTGCTAGGTGTGCTTCTTTGCCAGAGAAACGAGAAACAACACTGAAGCCAACAGCCTCTTCTCCCCAAGATAAAGGTCTTACAGAAAAGCCAAAGTAGTGAGATAAGTGAGAAGAGCCACTCAGGCGTGCCCTAACAAAGGTCTTCGAGCAGCACAAAGGCAGACGGAGGCCTGGAATAAAACAACCTGGAGGTGATAAGGGGACGTCTGTCAAAGTGCACAGAACTCAGATGCTGCTCTGGGGAGGAGTGCAGGGAGCACCTTCCGAGCTCCCCGATAATCCCGCGGATGCCCAGAGCCTACCTGGAATCAGCCCAGACCCCTGCTTCTGCCCGCTGATCCTGCTCTCACGGCCATGGAGAACCCTAGGAGAGACTACTTGGGGTGGGAAAGGTCTCCCACCCACCAGCAGATGCAACCACAGCCCACCGTGGGGTACTGGACCTCATCCCTCCACTCAGGTGGCCTGGACAGTCTGGACCACAGGAGATTTAATCCCTGAACGGCTTCCACGCCAATCAGCAGCCGGGGGCTACAGTCTGGCTCCTGATGTCCTCTCCACCCACACCGGCTGGCGGCCACTGTGGCTCCCACAGCACCTGGCCCAAGGCCCGTTCGCCCCCAGATCCAGCCCCCCCAGGAGCCTCCCGCACACACAGAGCCAGAACTCGCTAGCCTCCAAGCTCTGAGGCGAGGCCGAGGGTCCCCCGCCCCGAACCTGCAGAATTAAAGCCCAGTCTGCCTGGTCCTTTTCCGGGTCCCATGCGGCTCGGCATTCCAGATAGGAATGACGAAATGCTCCCAGAAACCTGCCTCGAAAACGTGGCGAGCCGATGCGATTCCCGATGGAGCTCAACTGCCCCTTTAACAGCAATTAAGGCCGTAAAACAGCGCTAATTCTGTATTGTAACATCCACTTTCCATTCTAGAGCTCCCAGGGTTCCCCAGACTTAAACAATTAATCGCTCCATCTGTAAACTTTACTCGTTTCTAAACACGTTTACAGAACACAAACACAGACGGAGCCGAGCGCCTTTTCGGGGCAGGAAGCGGCACATCGGAGCAGGAGGCCCAGAGGCGCGGCCCAGGCCCAGGGGCTCGGAGCAGGGCGGCGGGGCAGGGCGGGGAGCCGTGCATGGCTGCTCGGGCGGCT